GGCCGGGCTCCGCAGGAGCTGCTCCTGCCGGGTTTGCAATCCGTTTGTTTTAATAAAATGCGGAAAAAATTGGCATTTTTCTCCCAACTCAGTCTTGCACTGTTGGCACCTGCGTCTAGCTCAGCAATCTGTGTTTTATACCAGTTTTCACAGTAACTCACCGGCGTTAACCAAATAATATGCAAATTAACATTTCAGGTAGAAGGTGAGGTGGTAAATCCAAGGAGAATCATCACTCTCAGTCTGTGTAAATCTTTCACTGTATATTCCTGCATAGAAAAGGACTCCTGTCATGCAAAGTCCTGTTAAGTAGATGGAGCAGTTGCAGGAAGAACACCTTAGATTTTAAATAACACTGAACACCTGAAAATGAGCAAAGCCTGTGAACATCCCTTGTGCGATAAACACAAGAATTAGGGATCTGCTAGCAGAACAGACAAGATGAAAAATGGAAGAATGAGCAGGTGAAAAGGAGATGAGAGCGAAGCTCAGGAGTGGAAATGCTGGCTGCAGTCCTGACAAAGCCCCTCAGCCAGGCTGGCCTCACCTGGCATGTGGAACCTGCCAGTTTCCCAAGGCCAAAAAGGACATTTCACAAAAGCAAAATTATCTAGTCTTGTGAAAACCTGCTTTTATTTCTTTAGGGTAGTAGAAGAGAGGTTGGTGGGGTTGCTAGAAATCCGGTATAAATGCTGGCTTAGTTTCTGCTACAGTTTCTGAATGTCTTACAAATTTGCTTGTGAGAGCAGGGGATTGCTTTGAAGTTTTGTAGCATCATTCTGTATGTAGTTGGTTATGGCGGGCTCCCGCAAAATGAGAATATATGATCTCTGAAATCTTGATGGAAATAGGATATTAAATGCAATCTGTTGAATAAAAATGTTGAAAAGGGAATAAATGTGTTAATAGATTACACTGAGTAAATCATAAAAAAATCTCAAATGGAATCAAAAGTTAAATCTAATGCAGAAGGTATTAGATAAGCGGGTGACAAAGTGGTCTACAAAATTCAGCATTATGTGAAGATTAAGACACTCGCGGAGAAGCTTTAGCTGTGTGAAGACAAGGAAGAACTGTAAATTAATGTTTTTAAGTTTGGTAAAAGGTTCTTGGAACCATTGTAGATATTCTCTGAAAATGTTTTTTCAGAATTTACCAAAATGTTAAATAAAATTTAAAATTACTAGGATACAGTTGAGAACTGAACAGAAAACATCATTATGTTAGCAACTAAATCGGTGTAATTCACAGTGTATATTTGGCCACTTGATTTTCATAAAAATAGGCATTTAAAGAAAATACAATGTCAGTGGAGTGGTACAATGTAGTCTCTTTATATGGAAATGGAACATATTAAGATTCTTCAGTCTGGAATCAAAATAGCTGAGCAGTTCTGAAACAGATTGATAAAATAATTTTGATCTGAATTTCTGTGGTTTGTGACTTATTTTAAATATTCACCAGCTCATGAAAGGACTCTTGGAGTTAATCCAAATACTACCATGCATGTGAAGTTTAAGCATATGATTTTATTTTTCACTCATTTGGGAAACAGACATGCATAGTTACGTATTTCTGTAGGATATTTGTTTGATAGACTGTAATACAGAAGCAGGGAAGAAGAATTACCATCCTTACTTAAAAACAGTCCATAAAAATTAAAAGCTGTTTAACAGTTGAAACCAGCACGCAATTCTATGTTGAGAGTTGTGCAAATAGGTAACATGGAGAAGAATTCCAAAGAAGGCGTTCGTTAAGAAGATGGCCAGTCTGCCAGAATTTAAAAAAAATCTGTCATTGCTAATAGAAACACCATTTACTAACACATTGTAAGTGCTGCAAGTTATTCTTTTATGTTCTTTGATCTCTTTAATAAAATCCAGTTTACGTTGAATAGTAGTCGTCTTATTTAGCTTGTTTGATGTTAATTTACTTTATTTCTTTGAAACTCATAGGGCCAACCCATGAAAGTATCCTGTGGTCATCAGCCTGTATTTTTGAGCTGGATGGAAATCAGGCATCGAGGTCACCAGAGTGAAAATATTGCAGAGCTTAACAGACATTTAGCAGAGAAAATTGGCATTACAGATGGAGAACAGGTTTGAAATGCATTTTTTTTCTTATTTAAATAGAGAGTATATTGCAAGATACCTGAAAAGGAAATAATTTACAAGTTAACTAAGACCTTTTTTCATGTATTTAGACAGTTACTTCATTTATATCTGCTCATAAGAAAAGTTAAAAATCATGAAGTTTCTCAAACATTAAAAGATTTGCTCATTAAATCATTCACAACTGCACAAATATTGTTAGGATAGGCTTGTGGATAGGTCTTTGCGGGGCCAAAGCCACTATCTGCAGTACTGTTAAATTTTAGGAAAATTCACTTTTAAGCAATTAAGCAATTGGGGAATTATCTCATGAGAATATTTTGCCTGAAGTTCCTGTTATTTTAAAGTAATTGTAGAGTTAATGCGTATTTCTTCTTGTTTGACTTATGTGGGGTTTAAATTTTCATCCCTTTTTTCCCTCTTCACCGTATGTCCCCATGTGTCCTCTCTCTTTGAACATGTATTTAAACTTGCCTTTTCCTCTTGGACACTGGTGTTAAACTTGTAAACAAGTCTTTCATTGGAGAGAAGTTGGAGAGATGCCCCAGGCAGAGCTTTCTGACATGGGACTATTAAAATCTCAGCATCCAAAGGTGTTTTTCATATTAATAGTTAGAAATTTAAATTAACAACAATACAGAAGTATTACTCTATACAATGTTATTGTGTGCTATATTAATACATGCCTATTCTCTCATATGAAAGATTTTATTCAGTGTAATAGAAGACGTCATGTTTCTGCCTTAGCTAAATTTGCGCACAACTCAATGATTTTTACAGCATTCTGAAGTTCAGAACATTTAAAAAATAAAAACATGCAAAGATAATTATGTGACCAGTATGCAGTAAGAATTGATTGGTTGTTATCAGCTGGTAAAGCTCTTGGTGTTTTTCACATTCAACTCAATTCATGGTTGATTGAAGTCCCCAAGCATCCAGAGCAATCCATTTCCAGTCCATTGAACATCCACCTTCTGCTTATAAATTACCCAATGTCATTAAGTACATGTATGTTCAAAGTAGTGAAAATGTCTAATGAAGGAGATGTCAGTTTTCTAGTTGAATTAAAGATGGAGCTTTTGAGTGTTTAAAAATAAGAAGTTAAATATTTTAAAATGATGTTGCTTTTGCCAGGTGTTTCTTGAACCCTGTTCCCACGTCTCCTCCTGTCAGCAAGTAGAAGTGGAACCACTCTCAGCAGATGATTGGGAAATTCTGGTAATAAAACCCTTTCCACTGTTCATATCCTTTTCTTACAGATGACAGAGATTCTGACACAAGCAGTTTTTGCACAATGTCCCATTCTTTTCAGCCCTTAAGGGAATACTAAATGTGGTGGGGTTTACCTGTATTTGTATTTCAAATGTTGTATTAGAAAGAGACATAGAGTTTTTCTCTTCAAAGAGATGTTAAAAATGTATGCCGTATTCAGTTTATAATGATACCATATTTCCCCAGGAACTGCACACTTCCTCTCTTGAAAAACATCTTCTTGACCAGATTCGAATAGTATTTCCAAAAGCCATCTTTCCTGTATGGGTTGACCAGCACACTCATATTTATATAAAAATCGGTAAGCAACAGGAAGGCTCTTGGGGCACCCTGAGTAAGTAGTTTTGCAAGAGTGGATGCATTCATTGACCTGCTTTGTTTATACTCAGGTACACTTATGCCAGCAGCCCCCTATGGGAGATTAGAACCATGCACGGAGCTTCTGATATGTCCCAAAACACGTGAACTTGAAGAAAATATCACCAGCACGCCTTCCAAAGAAAGTGACATCTTGCTGAAAAATTCTGTGAAAAATAACATGGAGCAAGAAGAAACAGTGAAGGATCCTTTTGCCAAACAACCTTACTTAAAGCCAGGAGTCCTTGAACAGAGTAAGGCTGATGCAAACATGACGTTTGGCTCAAGCGTTCTCCCAAATATATGGAATTTCATAGGGAGCATTTTCTCTCATACATCTGAGCAGAAACAGAAGACTTT